GGAATAATTACTGTATCTCTGTTAAATTATTTTCCATCCTTATTTCACAAAGTTATTAAGGGGGAAAATAGTCCAAAATAGCACTAACTAAGGTAATTTCAGGCCAACATGTCTTCCCCAAATGATACTTTATATTTTATATTCAAAATAATTTCCAATAACCTGAGAGTAATTTAAAGATACAAATAAAAGCAATTCCGTCTTTCCTGAGGAATGACGAGGAGATAAAACTGTATCGTGTATTTAGACAAATAAAGGAATTCATCTTTTTAGGACATCGGTTATGAAGGGTATGGTGCTAAATGAACAAGAAAAGAAGATGGGTCACTTTCTTCTAGAGACACTTCTATTATAAAGAAGATCAGAACAGCAGCAATCAGGCTTTGTTCTAAAGATGCTGAGAACACAAGTGCAAATAGGCTGAGTTGTAAGGTTAGAACAGAAAGTATCCATAAATACAAGGCCAATAGTTGCATTTTGGCTTCTCAGCTAGTTGAAGCAGCTTAACACTGTCAGCTCCTAGGGCAGCAGTTTCTATCATTAGCACCATGCAGACCAAGTATAAATGATAAAGTCCATAGACATTTCTTCAAAGCAAAGGTAGAGTGTTCTATCCATCCTGTTCTTCTAGAAAGGCCAACATGAGCCAGATGAACAAAATATTAGCAGGATAGATCCTGAATCATGTGGAATCAGGGGAAATAATCTAATGCAGAGAAGCAGAAACACAGCCTACTGAAGTCAAAGTAATAACCAAGAAAAATTAAAATCTTAAAAACAAGAAAAAAGTGTCAAGGAACAAATAAAGAAAATGGGCCAGCTTCCTGGCCTGGTGGTTAAGGCGGCCAGATCCCAAATAATCAACTATGAGGTTCATGTTCAGACCCCGTGGCTGGAGAAACATGCTGGGTGTGCACTTGTGTGTGAGCACACCCGAAATTCAAAAGGAAAGAGAGATGGAGAAGGGACTGCAGCAGGACCATCCCCCATGCTGGTATGTGGGGGTATGCAGTCTCCTCTCCCTCTCTTTGCATCCAAATGCACAAGACCTCTGCTGAAAAAATAAAAAATCCTGAAGCAGCAAAGAAGAAAAAAGATTTAGATTGTTTTGAATAATTTAAAAGTGAACTATGTCCAGGTAGATCATTCATATGGCTTTTGGAATATGCTATAAACGATAGGGTGACTTCTTAAAAGAAGTTAGGGTAGGCCTGACACCACCTCTTTACTGTCTGACTGATATATCAATTTTTTTTTTTTTTTGGAGAGGTTTTTGCTATAGGGCGCGTGCGCTCGCCAGACAGACAGAGAGAGACATAGAGACAGAAAGCGAGAAATCACCCCCAGGGGGGATGGTCACGCGGCAATCCCTTCTCCTCCATTCTCCTCTCGGGATCTTGGGCACGCATGCACACGCACCCGGCGTGAGTTCTAAGCCACCGGGTCCAGGACGCGAACCGCAGTCGACTACGTGGGAGTCCAGCGACATAGACATTACGCAAACTGCTGGTTCCCACTGATATATCAATTTTGACACTCATGTATCTACTTGATTCATAATTAATGGCTTTTTTTTCTTTTTTTTTGGAGAGGTTTTCACTATAGGGCGCGTGCGCTCGCCAGACAGACAGAGAGATAGAAAGTGAGAAATCACCCCCCAGGGGGGATGGCCACGCCGCAATCCCTTCTCCTCCATTCTCCTCTCGGGATCTTG